GAGAACGCAACTATTTTCAATTGACCGGATTTTGCCAGACTGAAGTCTCAAAGGATAAGCGTAGTGAGCAGTCCATTATTATTCGTGACTTCACGATTCACTTAACCTAACCCAATGTAAGGTTAAAATTGTAAAAGTAACAACTTAGGTCTAAATGTGGGAATTCACCGGTTTCTCGGAAGAATGCCAAATGCTAAGGAATAAATACAAAATTTTTCCCAAGCATACGCCCGTCGTCGATTATAGCCGAATTAACGCCAATTAGATATTCCAAGTGAAGCCAAAGTCGACTCATCCGTTGTTGACATCGTCCAAGCCTCTGCACCATATAGCAGAACGGGAATTATGAGTGACTTATAGAGTTTGGTTTTTGTTTGTCGAGGGAGGATTTTGCTTCTCAATTGCCTACTCAGTCCGAAGTAGCACCTGTTGACAAGAGTTATCCTGCGTTGGATTTCTAGGCTGACATTGTTGGNATCCTGCGTTGGATTTCTAGGCTGACATTGTTGGTGGTGTTTACGCTGGTTCCAAGATAGACGAAATTATCTACGACTTCAAAGTTATGACTGTCAAACGCAACAACAGTCTCGGATGAGAGACCCCACTCTTGATGACGACCATGGCAAATGAAATAAGGGCTACGAGGGCATACACCTGGAATGTCCGGTCTCTTAATTGGGAAGGTGCCGCTGCCCAGCTGGTTGATGTCCATGCGCTTTCATTGGGGGTGTTTTTTTACGTGGCGGGTTCCAAACCCAGCACACAACCCTATGCAGGGATGTTTCGCCTTCTCACTTTAGCTCGCCTTCAAGTGGATGGTCTTAGGCTACTCAGAGAATACTTGGTCAAGGACTGGAAGTCGTAAGCTGCTTGAGTCATATGTAAAAGAATCGTTTCTGGCTACTCCCAAGTGAATGGCGATCAGAGAACTTTCCTCACTTGCGTAAACTTCTATACATGACTCCATCCACTAATCATATAGAGGAAAAGCTCGGTCAGACATCATGGAAAAATCAACAAAACAGTTTGAACTATTGGACAACTGTTGAACAATATAGGATAAAAAATGTGCAGCTTTATTGGGGACTTATGTATCCAAATGAAGCGGAAATTTAACTTTATATTAGACCTCAAATTATTAAGGAACTTTCAAAAAAGTCTGTATTAGGGTCGGATACAAATGTAAAAATACAGAAGATTTCTACATGTATAGAATGTGCAAAATTTCAATGATTTTCTTCTACTTGTTTTGACATTTCATGAAATAGCTCTAACAATGGAATATTTCGCTTCATAATTGAATCTTAATATATTTTCAGATAATTTTTAACAGTTTCATTATCATAAACGAAACTTTAGTCGATAACAACGCGTCAGAAATCAAAAAGAAACAAAGCTGTCAATTTTGTATCATTAAAAAGGCACCAAAACAGCTTAATATTAAAAACTGGTAAAATCTATTGTCTGAGTATCATGCCTAGCAAGACTTAAAAGAAGTTTTCGATAGCTATTTGTTTGTGAACCATTTGACAGACGAATGGTGGTCCAGTGACATCATAAACTAAGGCGGGCAAATGTTTTGTTTAGAAATGCTAATACATTTTTTTGTGTTGGATCTTCTCATTCTTTTGTTTATGATATAGCGAGTCACAATCGTCTTTCTTGTACTTCTTAATAAAATCATTCATGCTCATGGAGACTTAAATAAAACGCTTTTGAATACGAAAATATTTTTAATTAAAACCTTAACTTCTCTAACAGATAAGTGGGTATTTTTACAAAGTATGAGGGCAGAGAGGAAAACAGTTGGTCGGATTCGGGACGCAATGAAATTGGAAAAACTAAACGATATATTAATCGATCAGTAGATGTCTGTTGAATAAAAGTAAAACTAATTAATTTTCAAAAGTGTCGATTTTTTTGTACTCAGCCGACCACTCGCCTTTCAAAAGCATGTACATATATATTATCTTCGATTAATTTAATTAATAATTAATTTCGATAATTAGCTGTAAAGTCTCTATATTTAGAAACAAAACATTTGCCTTTGAGGTATACCTATTAAGACCATTAGCATTACCTCAAATTCTCAACCTATGGAAACGCTTAAAATACCATTACTCCAAAACTATAAACTATGGGAAATACCACGCTGTAAGAAATGAAGGAAACAACTATGCATGTTATGAAGGAAGTTCCCTTTCACCTTATAGTAAGTTTGGCAGCCATTTGTTCTCTCGCAGTAAACTCCAATATTCCAGTTATTCATCGTTGCGGTTGGGCTTAAACTTTGACTCACCTCAATTGTTTTTTTTTTTTTTCTCAGCTGCTGCTGCGTATTCTACTGATTTTTTGTATTTTTATGTTTGTTAGGTATTGTTGTTATTGGTTCTGCTTTTCGTATGCTCAATTCGTTGATTTGGTTAATGTTGCCTATGCGGTGCTGCTGCTGCTGCTACTTCCTTTGCTATTGCTATTGCGGTTGGCTTTGTTGTTACTGTTGCTGTTGCTGCTGCTACTTCTATATGAGCGACCGCTGCCACAACTAAGAAACCTGTTTTTCACAATTCTTCTGCTATTCACTTTTCGCATACACTTTTATACACACATAAACACACACAAGTTGTATACACATATACACAAACACACGCGCGTTCACACACACAAAATTCGCACTTTTTCCTTCTTCGCGTGCTTCTTCTTATATCAATTTGACTTCTTTCGATTTTACAGATTCCAACTCGATTGCAAGAATTGAATCTATTGCGTTATTTTTTCCGTTTTCCGTTTTGTGTTTGTACGAATTTTCGCTATTTTATTGGCCGAACCCGAAAAACCGAAAAACTCCACCATAAAAATATCTTTGATTTTCTTATTCGCTTATAACACTTTCTGCGAGTACTAACGTAAATTTTTCACTCTACAACTGCTTCATGTACATATATACATACATATGTATATACTAGCCAATATGAACGTTTGCGGACTGTTGCTTTATATGGTATAGTGATTAAGCTGGACTTGAATGCATTTGTATAAATACACACACATATATATTTATATAATTATTTAAATTTTTATATTAATGCGAACGCAAGGAAAATGTACACTTATTCAAAAGTGAAGGAACAAATAGTGACTTCTGTCGTGAACACCACGTTCCCCCCGTTATTAACTAACAAACACCAAACGACCGTTCCACGTCGAGTCTATCCGATGACTACTGATATCCAACTCAAACAGACTGACTATTGCTCCAACACACGCTTTGTAAAGGCCAAATAATATGATTTTTCCAATTGCTCTCCAGTGCGTGCGCGCTCCCAGTGCACTCTCTGTGATACGCGCCTGAGAGAGCAGTACATTTGTTGTTTAAAATCCGCCAAGGTGGTTGAGAACGTAAGCCAAAGCATAAAAAAACCGTAAACAACTTTTGGCCAAGAGCACCTTCTACTCATGACTAATTTTTACTGTATACAAACGCACACAGGCATACAAGCATACATGTGTATATAGTTTTCTACATATGCCAGTAGAAACAAATAACACTAACCTTTATTTATCACAGCTGCTTTTGCTTTTGTTTTTGGCATTCATAAGCATAATGTATTTAGTTAGTATATGTAGAATACTTTTTATTTAATTATACAACTCATTACTTTAACTAAATAAATAAATTTATAAAATATGTTAAAAAATTATTTGTTTATTTACTGTTGTTGAGATGCATTAACATAACACAGAACTGCATTGCATGTGCTAATAACTGTTTGAGTTTCAAGTGGCTCCAGCACCAGTTGCACCACTACCAATACACATACATACAAAACAATCATGGCTTCGGCCGGTAACAGATGATTAGTGTTCAACGTTCGTTTATTTCATTTCCGATGATACATGTCCATTGTGAATGGTACTGCTCTTCACCAAATTAACACTATGCAGGGTTGCATCAACAGACAATATTAATTAAAAGATTATATCCACCATTGCTTAGATTTATATATTAACTAATGATAAAATTATCATTCTTTTCATAATAACTCCGATTTTTGAGCCACTTTTTACATCTAATTTATTCACTAAAAACGGTTATGTTGCTGAATCTGACTATTTGTTAGTATTTTATTGGTATTAAAAATACTTTTCAGTTTAGAATTTGAGATACTTTCAAGCAAAAAAGTCTTCACCGCCATGAATCTTTCTTCGGAGGTCCTCTTAGCAATCGCCTACCAGTTCAGGAGAATACAAAATTTTTCAAATTGAAATTGATTAAAATTTATTAATTTCGGTAATACATTATGGGGATTCTCTTGCCCTTGCAAGATTGCAGATTGCAAAAATCCTATACCGAAATATACAACGACACCCATTGCAGAATCTTGTGATATATGAACGGCTGAATATGTCAATTTATTGTAAATGACTATTGTGCATGGCTATTGTGAATTGGTGCACCTTCTGCATTCATTCTTAACAAAAAAAAACTGTAACAAAGCTTTATAATTTAAATAGAAATTATAAAATCTATTTAAAATTTCCTTCCTCAACAATTTGACGTCAAAATACATATTTAAGTTAAATAACAGCTGGTAGAGGCTCGCAATTATTTTTTTACGTGCCATTGCACGAGAATAAACATGGCTTTTGGTCTGACATATTCACAGCCATTGCAAATAATTTTCTGCGTGTGTTTGTTGTTGTGCCGGTACACCAAGAGGAAATATCTGCAATTCGTGCACCGTGCAATGCTTTTGCAAAAGCAAGGAATACCCCTATTATCATATATTTATTTATATTTCAGCAGATACTTAACACAACAGTAGGAAATTTCGGCTGAAAACAAATTAGAATGTGTTGTTTAAGGTAAAAACTTCAAAATATCAATTTCTACATTTGCTGAGCACCCTGTTGTAATTATCTATTGGCTCACTCTAGCCAGTGTGATGTGACTGTGGTTGCGTATAGCGCTTATCTCTGTCATGTGGCATTATATTGCTAAATAACAACAAAGCACAATAATCGGAAGCAGAGGCAGCGAATAAGTGAAAAAGGTCGGAGCAATTATTAACAGAACATCGGTGTTCAGCGTAGAAAAATGTAATCATAATTGTAAAAACTGATCTGAAAAGTATTTAGAAGTAAAGTTATTAATTAATTGATGGTTTGTTGATGCAATACGGCTGGTGCACCGCTGGATAAAGTGTTTATAGAAGCCTACGAAAAATTGCAAAACAAGCGTCGATCCGATCGTCGGTAAGAAGAGGAAGAATAGTTCGAAGGCTTTGATGGCAGCAGCTGCGGCTCATCGTGATGTGAAAACGATAGCGCGTTTGTAGCGCCTACATTGCATTGCATTGGCGGGGCGACGTTAGCTGACCATTTTTTTGTTTTTTGTATCGTATGCTTTGTGCCAGCGAAATTTCTTTTCAAAAGATACATATGTGTATTTTTTTCTTTTAATAGTTATTTAATACCATCGAAAAATCTTGTGGAGATCATCGTGTTGGTGCTCGGGGACATATTTTGAGAAAATTTGATTTAATAAATTGCTGTTGAAAAATGGTGCGTCGTCGCGCTACAAAAGTTGCTGCGCTTACTGGCGGAGGTGCGCGAAGCGCCAATAGTAATTTGTTAGAAAATGGTGAACTCAAATCTACGGTTGGCTGTACACATTTGGACGAACAATACTTTGCCAGTCCTAAACGTAAAGACTGTAAAATTGATAACTGCTTAATGGAAAAGGTTGGTAATAAAGAACATCAATCCGAAAAAGAAGTGAAAACACACGGAAAAACTAAATCATATCCATCAGCAACTGGCAAGGTACGAGCCGAAAGAGGAGGTATTGCTGGCCGTACGATTGGTAAGTACATATTTCGGCGGCTGTCCGCAGCGCCATATTTTAGCGCGCTTTTCACTACAAGTGCTTAGTAATTTGTTCCATGCATTGCAATCATTGCGCGCTGGGCAAAAAGTCACGGTTTATGGCACCATACGCCATAAATATGTTTCTAGTTTTTATTTCAAATAAACTAGATTCTATGAACCCCTTTAGTATTACATTTTATATGAAGAATTAGTAACGTAAACGTGTTTTCGTTTATGTTATATAAGTTTAGATTTTTAAACATTTCTTCTGGACACGCCCTGTGATTAGAATCCGCAGCACACTAAGTTTTTCTGTTAAATTTATGTAATTTTATTTTGCAGGTGTGCCTTTGGCCACTCGTTCACAAACACGTACAATAGAAAACTTCTTCAAGGCTAAAACTGCTGCCAATAACGCTAAATTAGAAGATACTTCGGTGACAAAAACTGAAACCATAAGCTGCACAGAAAACGAAGAATACTTGTATGAAGACTTGCCCCACTACAATAATATTCATCCACCAACACCAGATACACCATGTGAACTTGACGAAGATACAAATGATAGTGAATTTAGTTCACAGCTAACAGAGGGGACCGTCTACGGAAGTGATTTTCTTACACATCGCTCACAATTACGTGATAGCCACTCTTCAACTGGCAGCGCATGTACAAATATCAGCACCTCAGAAAACATATTTCTCCAAGAACCCGTACTAACTTTGAATGTCGACAAAACGCTAAATCAAGCGTCATCCATAAAGATAAATACGTCACTAGAAGTGGAGCCGATCTTTTCATCACCACCCGCGCTTACTTCTGCACTTAACGGGCGTTTCAATCAAATTGTGACACTCAACATTTCGCCGTGCAAGAAACTAGACACATTCTCTTGTGAAGCACCAAATATGGCCATTGTAGCCTTACAGGGAGACGATTTGGTGGAAGAGATCATTGACAATGATAATGACAATAGTTCTTGCGACAGTGGTGTTGCTTTTACTAACACAGTGAATAGAGATGTGTTGTTGACAGAACAAAATGACAAGATCGTGTCTGTGGTGACGGATAATGGCAATAAGCATAGAAGAAAACCAGCAACACCACATCGTATTGTATGTCCTTCACCAATTAAAACTATGCCACCTATGATCTCACCTATGTGTGCTGTTGTGAACGGTAGAATCTCGTCGCCTTCAGGATGTAAACTTAACAGAGAACACTTATCGCCGCGCAAATCCCCACGCAAAATGGCGTCTTCCAATTCTAAAACACGACGAAGGCTGAACACACAAAAAGAGCTAAGCGCACTAAATAACGTCGAGGAAGCAGTTAAGTTGTTACCTGAGGAATGTGCAGTCGCTATGGTGAGTACTGGAAAAAGTTTTGGTTTTGTTATCAGTTGAATTGTGATATTATTCAACAACGGTCGTGGGTGCTTAAGTTTTTTATACAACAAAGTGAAAGATTTTCTTTAGGCATATGAGTGCTTTATATTTTATAATAAAATAGAATTTTTAGGAATTATGTGATTTGTATTCACAATAGTTCTAAGGAAACAATACTTTTATAACAACAGCGCTATTAATTTCGATAATCAAAGAAATTCATTCAAATTTGTCATTTTTCCTCGCTACCTCCTCGTTATAATATAACTTTAAGCACTGTTAATGAATTTAATATTTATCTAAAATTATTTAATTGTAATGTTTCTCAACTTCAACCAGAATTACAATGAGCCAGATAAGTTTATACAACATGAGATCAACGATTGCGAGAAACGTGAAGAACAACAACAAAAGTGCGCCACAATAATGAATACATTAAAACAACCACAAAAGCTGGTGGCACCAAAATCACATGTGGTCAAAATGCAGACACACAAACCGAAATTGGTGAATGGTCGACCACTTGCCACAACAAATAATAATCACACCTTAAAAGAATGCTTCCCCGTACGTCGTAGTGTACGTAAAACTAAAACTGCCGTAAATGAAGAGATCATGCGCAATCTGGAGCGGGCTATTCTCGAAGAACGCGCCGATGGACTGAAGGTGGCACATTTCGAGGGCAAAGGTCGTGGTGTTGTAGCCGAACGACACTTTCAACGCGGTGAATTCGTTGTGGAGTATATTGGTGATCTTATACCGTTGACCGAGGCGAGTGCGCGCGAGAAGCGTTATGCATTGGACGAGAACGCAGGCTGTTACATGTACTATTTTCGGCATCAAAATCAACAGTACTGCATTGATGCAACTGCGGATACGGGCAAATTGGGACGTCTTGTGAATCATTCACGTAACGGCAATCTCATTACAAAAGTGGTCGTGGTGAAGCAACGGCCACACCTGATATTAGTAGCAAAAGATGACATAGAGCCGGGCGAAGAATTGACCTACGATTATGGTGATCGTTCCAAAGAATCGCTACTGCATCATCCTTGGCTGGCTTTCTAGAAACATCGTGGTCCAGTTGTTGTCGTCGTGAGGAGGCTAAAACCGTTATATATTTAGCATGACAGATACACAAACAATTCAAGTGCTTAACGATGAAAGTCGTAGCGCCTTAATACAGAGTTAACTGTCAAAAAGGCTAGTTAAAATTAATCAAAAAATGACTTCTTAAGAGTGTGTGCGAGACCGTGTGCGCGCTTGCGTTGGCTGGTCGTCAGCGCGACATTTAATGGCTCAACTGCAGCTCAGTTGCAAAAACAAATTAAGGAATAGTATAGCGAAAAAAAAAGTTATAATACAAAATACCGTTTATTAGAAAGCATATAACATACATATACATATATAAATATATATTTAATAACAGTAAAAATACAATTTATAGTAACATTAATATTTTATAGACTTATTTCGGTAATTGTTAATGCTTTATTAGTGATAAGCTAAAACAACAACAAAAAATTAGAGAAAACAGAAACAAACACTAAACAAGATGGCGTACGCACAGTGTGACGACGTGAAATGACGAACATCTTCGAACAGAATTTTGGCTGACTTCACTTTGTGCCCACCTGAAGGGTAATTATGAAAAAGTAAGACAAATACTAAATTTGAGAAATAAAAAAATTAAATAAATTTAGTTTAAATTTCGTGTGAAGCAAAAATTTAAAATCGAATACATTTGTTACAATTAAGACATACAAAAAGGCTAGTAAAATTTGTTTAATTACTTCAAAATATTTGCAGTTAACTTATTTAATATATAATACTAAAACGAAACGAAACATTTTTTTAACTAACACTGAAATCGTTACACTGTGCCATTCTTGTTTTTTTTCCTATCATCCTACAACTGAATTGTGTTCAAATTGCATTGAGCCTGAATATATTCATGCATATATGATGGCTACGATGTCAGCTGCATACGATAACCAAACTACTTTAGGTATTTGCGACATTTTTTGTAGCAACACGCAAAATTTTCTTTAAAATGTGCCACAAATCAAAAATTCATATGCAAAAATGACACAATAAATTGTTTTCCAATTCAATTAAAAGAAAAAACATAAACTGTAACGCCCTCTGCGAACAAAAGTTATCAAAACATGTATATTTAAACATAAGTACACACACACACACTATATCTAAAGCAATTTGCATAAATGTAAATAATTTTAAGCAGGTGCATGTTATCATATTTAAAATGCCTTAGCATTATTGAAACATTATTGTTTAATTTGCAAATTTCTATATTCTCACACAAAAGCAAGCAAGAACACATGCAAACAGACTCCTTCAATCATTAATGATAGGACATTATTCCTAGAGACACCCTAACCTAAAATGTAGTTAACAGTTTGTAAGCGTACGCAGCGGTTATAAGCAACAAAATATGTTAAAATTAGTTATAGCCAGGGTTGTGAATTTTTTGCTGCAACATTTTTGGATAAAAAGTTGATTTTAAATTTTTAACGCCAACATATTGGTTTAACAATTAAATTTTCAATATTTAATGCAGTTTTTGAGGTTGGATATAAATTTAAAAAATTTCAAATGAGTTTTTAAATTTTTAATATCAACATCTCAGGATTAACAATTAAATTTTCAATATTTAATGCAGATTTTGAGGTTAGATATAAGATTTAAAAAATTTCAAATCATTTTTTAAATTTTTAATATCAACATCTCAGGATTAACCCTCAATATTTAATACCGATTTTGAGGTTAGCTTTTCAATTTTTAATCAAAGATGCTGGGATGAAAAATTAAAATATTAATTTTGGTTTTGATTTTTTTTTTCAATCACGTGTTTGTTATTTTTTTTCAACCAATATTTGAAATTAAATATTAAAAAAAATATTTTTTAAAAGATTTTCAGGATTACAAAATAAAAACAATTAACTACAAAATATTAATTAAATTATTTTTTAGTGTATTATGCAACTCTGGTTATAGCTGAATAATAATACTAAAATGAAATGGTCAACGCAAAATGGCCTATATTATGTTAACTTTGCATATAATAATTGAAAGCCCATCGAATTGGTGTTAAAAGCTCCGTGGCCGAGACAGAACATTACTTTAGTATATATGAATAGGCGTAGTTAAAAAAAAAGTTTTATAAATGACAAATTCATGTTTTTCATTTTATATCTGCCAGTATGCATTGTCTAGGTCATTGCAAACCAACTTACCACAAACCACAAATAGAAATAAAGATAAAATAATTATGAAAAATTATCACAAATAGTTATACCGATATACTAGACATTAAATTGATAGCAGATTTACCGCTAACTTCACTGCTACATTACGACATAACATTATATAAGAATAAAATTCCCTAAAAAATGCTGAAAATGTGTTGGTGTAGCGTCTCCAACTACAATCTATACCTGCCTAGCATTAAGATCGAATAAAAAAAATAAATATTTGTAAGTTACATAAACATACTTGCATGTATATGTATTCGTATGGCATATATTTATTAAAGAAAATGTGTGCCTCACATGACAAGACATTTATTGGCGCGCATGCTGCATTCAGAGATTAGTGCTTGTATTTTCAAACGCATTAAATTTGCTTGTTTTACGGTTCATTACACCAATTTCCAGTGCGTACTCACTTAAAGGGTTCTAATAAGTCACTTAAGTTGTTTGCGCTAATTAGCGGCAATTGACTCACCCGTGTGGTGGATATTAAAGATGTAGAACATTCAAGCTTTTCGGATTTTTTGAGTGGAAAAAGCTTAACATTGATTTTTGCTTGTGATTATGAACCGAATAATGTGTAATTAGTTTGGAATTACCTAAAAAATTGTTTATGTGCGCATAATAAACATCAAGTGTTATGTGGACTAATAGCAGCATTACTATGGTGAGCACGTGGCGTTAGTTACACTCATTGCAATTGTTTACAAAATAACTCTCAATTTTCTTTTCTTCCTCCCACAACTCACATAGAATAAAATCGCTGAAGATTTGACGTTTCAAAGAAAACCAAAACACAACATAATTTCAAGCCATCAACATAAACAAAGGTTTCAACTACAACAAAACACACTTATATTGCGCTAACATTATGCATGCAAATTAATGCCTCACTCATATAAAATCACTAACTTGTAAGAATTTTTATAAGAACTAAGGAATATAGCGCGCTAAGAATGTTAAAATATAAACTATTCATTCAATAATTATAATTCAAAAACACACAAACATACATCAAATACATACATACGTGCAGCTAGTTAAGAAATGAGCAGCAATTAGTTGAAGGAAGAAATAATTTTCCGTTATGTTTTTAAAGCAATTACTGTAGAACGGCTTCATTCTGCCAAACCCTTGACTAATAGTGCGGTTAAAAAAGTTTAAAAGTTTATTTAATTAAATTATTAAAATAAA